ATTTATTACATGCTAACAGATTTTGACATTAGGTACTTATTTATTTTACACCCCTTTTACATATTTTTTTTTTTTTGCCTCATGTTGAATTTTTATTTTTCTGTAACAACTCTTTTTTTCGTGTACAAAGTGCTTATACTAATTTTCTTATTAAATATAACATTTTTTTTTTTTTTTTTTTTTTTTTGCTTACATTAGTGGACTCTGAAGAATGTGTTGATTGCATACGCGATTCAATCATATATAAATGTGTTTTTTTTTTCGTCTGATGTAAATTCAAAATATTTCTCAGCTATGATACATGTTTGCTTCTTTCTCTGATTGGTGACCATGTACGTTGTTGGAAGAGAAATTTATAGGAAGTTTGTTGGTATTTTGGCGGTAATTTGTTAGTTTTTTTTTTTTTTTCATTTCCGTATGATTCGCAAATGTTTGGTTTTTTTTTTTTTTCCTGGATACATATATCTGGGTCACACAATACGAAGATTTTTGACTTCTCTTTACGTTGTCATAATCAAGTTGTTTTTTCCTCTGGTGTGTATCTCTTGTGCCCTGGTAGTACTAGCATTTACTAATATTGTGTAGTGTTTCTGTAGCAGGGTTGCTCCATTGTTCTGGCAATTTATGTTTTATGTCCACTGTGGATTTTGAGGAATTTTTTTACAGGTGTCTGCTTAGGATGTTCTGGCTTCGTTTATAAGACTGATGACTCGTTTTATAGGGTTTTTCCCATATAAATACGCATGTATGTACATATGTAATGTTTGTATATGTTTTTTTCTTTTTTTTTTTTTTTGTTGAGAACCATCCCCTGTAGGCTCTGCTATGTTGTATGACTATGCATGTAGATGCTACTGTTATTGTCATGGTAAAATGCTGTTTCAGATTTAATTGTGATTTTGATCCCTTATACAGTGGCAGAAATCTTATCTTATATGGCTTTCATACTAAATGTGTGTGACTATTTCCCTTGTTCAGTTTTATTTTAGTCTTGTTATGTAACCGAATCTCCAGAATTTTCAGTAGTTGTTGTCATCCTCTGATAACCGTTGATTTTGATAGTAGGTAAGGAGTATCAGGATCTTGATATAACGCGTAATCAGTACGCATTACTATATAATATGTACGCTAATTTTCAAAATTTATATTATAGTAAAGAATCCGCGCTTTCATTAGGCAAACATCACTTTCTCAATTGAATACCTTTAATCGTCCTTCATTGTTCAAACAAAACGAGACATTAAAAAATGCTTTAGTAGAT